CACACCCTCGTCTGGCGGAGGAACTTAGGCTTACAGAGGTCACTCCACGCATGAGTGCAGGGGCGGTGCGCGCTCCGGCCGAGGACAGGCAGCCCATCCTCAGAGCCGCACACTTACCAGTGCACAGCTGCATGGCCTCTAGTGGGCCCTCGAAAGGCCAAGGCCAGGAGACCGTCCCATCATGGGCTGAAAGGGACACTGGCAGGGAGGCCTTACAAGGAGGACTCTATCCAAGGTTCGGGATGGGGGAGGTGGGTGGGAGTGGCACAGGCCCGAGGCCTCACCTCAGCCCCAGTCCATAGGCTGTGTTGGGGCTGCTGGACACTGGGCCCTGCTCTGGGCACTCTGGAGAACACAGCGACATTGCAGAGGGCACCCCTACGCACAGGGCGTCAGTGTTTGCACAGGGAGATAAAGCCTGTCACAGGACAGCAGGTCATGCATGTTTTTAGCATGTCCCTTCCTGCTCCTCCCTGAGCACGTTTTTAGGAAACCCAGGGCATGCCGCAGTTGTCACCAGCCTCCAGGAGGAGTCACTTTCCCCGTGGTTGCTGCCATCACCATCCCTCCTTGGCTAGGCCACAGCGTCCTGTGCAGTGTATCCCACCTCGTGTATCTGTAGGGATGTGCATGTGTCTAGGGTCCTTCTCTGGCACTGACTTCTCCAGCCATAAGGAGGCCCCAGAGAAGCTGGCAGGAGTGCTGGTGGGCAGAGTCGGTTTCTCCCCTGTCCGCTGCCCACTGTCCGAGCTGAGGAGAGAGGCACCCGGTTCAGACCCTCGCCTGCCAAGAAGGCTGGGTGGAACAGGGTTTCTCGAGTCCAAGCCAAACCCACTGTAAGCCACAATTACCTGGTTTCAGTTCCAGCCCTGCTTGGTCAGACGTCATGTGTCCTCAGCATCCTTCTCTGTAGCCATGACTGCCTGGCCAACGGGGTCAGGGGCAAAACAAGATGTCTGGGGCTCTACTGAGGCCTGAGAGGGTGCCTGGCCTCTGCCCTTTGTGGGCTTTTTTTCCCCCTCCAATTTTGCTAGAGGGCATATGAGAGAGAGACAGACCCAGAGAGAGAGAAAGTGAGAAAGCATCCCCCAGAGAGACAGACCCAGAGAGAGAGAAAGTGAGAAAGCATCCCCCAGAAAGGACCACCACACTGCAGTCCCTTCCTCGGTCTCTTAGGGTTTGGGCACACACGCACATGTGCCTGGAGTGAGTTTCAAGCCACCACGTCTGGAACTCAGGACACAGTCGGCCATGTTGGATCCAGCTGCCTTAACCTGCACACACTGGCCGACCCTCTGCTGTCCTTTCGCCACCTAGGGGCAGCCTCTGGTGTGCGCTAACACGGAACCTATACCGCTGTGAAGGTGAGAGAGGCACCACCCTGGCCTGGAGGGGTGCCGGTAGGTGCTTGCGGTGGGCTGTGGGAATAAAGCCCTAGTTAGCAGTGTCTGCCAACCTCCGAGTGTAAATACCCCTCGGCTTCCCACAGGCTGTTAGGGAAGGCACTCGAGCAGCATTGGGCCACCCTCGTGTCGTGTTCCCGTGAGAAGTAGGCTGGAGACGCAAATCCCCTCAAGAGCAGTCAAACTTCTGCTTTGAAGTATGTTTGGAGCAGTTAGTACCTTTGTTTTTTAATATAATTTATTTTGTTTTTAAGTCTCTATGATTGGGACCAGCAGGTGGCATAATGGTTCCATCACTGGACTCCCATATGACTGACTGTGGTTCGAGTCCCCGACTCAGCAGCTTGAAACTCACACTCGGCACATGTGCATGCGTGCTCAAGATCCCGACAGGAGAATGGAGGAGAAGGGATGGAGGCTTCACTCTACAATCCTTTTTCTTTTCTACCTCATAGGAATTTTAGGCACGCACTCGCATGAACCCAGCATTTTTTTCATGCTGCCAGGGCCAGGATTCAAACTGTACAGCTAGTCCCTGAGAGCGCCTGCCCCTGGTGTGCTGTGCCTCACTAATGCGCCCCAGGTGTAGCCCTGATGTAACTTATTTTAAGTTTGCCTAATTTTTTTTTTTTTGAGATGTTTTCGCTATAGGGTGCATGCGCTTGCCAGACAGAGAGAGACATAGAGACAGAAAGCGAGAAATCACCCCCCACGGGGGATGGTCACGCTGCAATCCCTTCTCTTCCATTCTCTTCTTGGGATCTTGGGCACGCACGCACACGCGCCCGGCGTGAGTTTTAAGCCACCGGGTCCGGGACGCGAACCGTGGTCGACTACGTGGGAGTCCAGCGACATAGCCATTACGCTAACTGCTGGTTCCCTTACCTAATTTTTTGAAGTTTGGGACCAGCAGATGGCATAATGGTTATGTTGCTGGACTCCCATGTAGTTGACTGCAGTTCAAGTCCCAGACCCGGAGGCTTCAAACTCATGCCAGGCACGTGTGCGTGCATGCCCAAAATCTGAGAGGAGAATGGAGGAGAAGGGATTGTGGCGTGGTATTCCCCCCTGGGGGGTGATTTCTCACTTTCCATCTCTCTGTCTCTCTGGTGAGTGCACACGCCTTATAGCAAAAATATCTCTTAAAAAAATAGTTTATCCATTTAGGGGCCAGCAAGTAGCATGGTGGTTAAGTTGCTGAAGTCCTACATGGCCAACTGAAGTTCCAGTCCTGGACCTGGTGGCTTGAAAATCACACTGGGCAAATGCATGTGTGCCCAAAAATCACCAGAGGAGAATGAAGGAGAAGGGATTGTAGTATGGCCGTCCCCCCTGGGGAGAGGGGTGATTTCTCACTTTGCTTCTCACTGTCTCTGTCTCTCTTCGGTGAGTGCACACACCCAGTGGCAAAAAAGGGAAAAACTTAAAAAGCTTTCTATTTCTGAGCGAAAGTAGGGTGGGGCATCCCTAAGAAGATCACAGTGTAGTACCCCCACCGCAGCCAGCCAGAGTCACGAGACATGTGCACACATGCCCAGAGTGCACAGGGAGACCGTGAGACAGAAGTCTGGGCCTTCCGTGTGGCCGCACGTGGAGCTGTGCTGCTGTTGAGCCCCATGGCTGACCTTTACTCATGGCCACTGAACAGCTGACCGTGTAGCTCCGTCTCTTGCAGGCCGCCGTGTGGGCTCTCCCGCACCACTAGCGCTGTCACCTGTTTCGGAGATGGCTGGGGCTGGGGACCGGGAAGGGAGGCCCAGAGAGCCCTGAGAAGGGACGCCCAGCAGCAGTTCCCGGGCTGGGGCGGGCTGTGCTGTGGCTCCACTGCCCAGGGCCCTGTTTGTCCTGCTGGCCCGACCCCAGGCTCCCATGGCTGAGGCGCAGGCGGGAGCACTCTGAGCTGTGTGAAGAGCATCCTTGCTTGGCTCAGACACTGTCCACAGGGGACGTGAACTTGCTTCATCAGAGAGGCCTTCACTCACACCCCCTCCCAGTATGAACCTTCTGGTGCCTTCCCTCAGCCCCTAAACCTGTGTCTCCGTCCAGTCCACACTCTCCACGTGAGCGGCTATGCTCGCTGCCCCCTCCTGCACTGGCAGCTCAGGACTGTGTCAGGACCAGCAGATGGCGGAATGGTGACATCGCTGGACTCTCCCGTAGCCCACCGTGGTTTAAACCTCACACCAGGCACATGTGCGCGTGCCCAAGATCCCGAGAGGAGACTAGAGGAGACTGTGGCGTGGCCATCCCCCCTGCAGGGTGACTTCTCGCTTTCTCTCTGACGACCACACACGCCCGATAGCAAAAATCTCTCTCAGAAAAAAAGAGGGGGTGCTGTGTCAGGTTCACTCAGCCCTGATACCCAGTCCCGGTGGGTGACGGCGTGTAGCTGGCACTAGGTGGGCTTGCTGAAGGTGAAGGCCTGAGAGAGTGGAAAGGGTGACAAGCAAGCGGACGCCAGGGCGGAGAGGAAGGGCTGAGAGTTCATTTACCTGGGCTGAGGTCCGTCCCAGAGGAATAAGCCGCTGAGAGCACGCCGGCCGCCTCCCCGTCCTCCCAGCTAGCACGGCGGTAGTGTGAGGGCTCGCAGCTGCTAGGGACAGAGCCTGGCTGAGCATCGGGCTTGACCGTGAGAAAAATCTGTCACTTCATGTGACAAGAAGCCCCAGGGTATGTACGATGGCTGCCGTTGAGCCAGGGCCCCTGTGGTTGCCGGTAGCTAGAGGTGTCACCTGGACACAGTAGTATCCGCAGAAAAGATCCCGACCGCTTCCTGTGTAGCTGGCTCTTCGTTGTTGTTTAGAGACTTTTGTTACAGCCTGCTCTCGCCAGAGACAGCAAGAAATCATCCCCACGGGAAGAGAGCCACACCGCAAGCCCTTCTCCTCCATTCTCCTCTAGGGATTTTAGGCACACTCACACGCCCTTGTGTGTTTCAAGCTGCCAGGCCTGGGACTCAAACCACAGTTGACCACTTGGAAGTCCAGCGCCTTAACCAGTATGCCACCCGCTGACCCTCTGGCTGTTTTAGTTATTTATTTTAAGTTTGTTTTTTTTTTTTTTCCATGAACGAGAGAGACAGAGCACCCCAGTAGGGCCCCCTGCCACAGTTTGTCTCAGCCTCATCCAGTCCTGCATCATGAACGACATGCCCAGCTTACTCAGGGACCTGCCACCTGCCAGCCTCACACAGGGTTGTGTCCTGCTGCTTGCTACCATCGGGCTCCAGTTCTCAGAGTACGGTCCCCCGACCAGCATCAGCCTCACTGGCAGGCCAGGGTGGGCGGCAGGTCTGTGTAATCACCTTCCTGGTGATTCTATGCGTGGTAAAAACAAAACTGGACCAGCTGCCACCCACCTTTACAGGCAAGCCCCTGAGCTCATCCAGGGCTCTGCCGAGAGGAAGTGGGAGGCCCGTGGGCAATAGTGGCATTGCATCACCTCAGTGCACCGCACCCAGGGAGAGGTGTGTACCCACTGCCCTCACCCGGGGCTTGACGTGGCCAAAGCTGGGAGTCCTGTGATGAGAAGAGGTGCCCGCGATCTGGCCCTGGCAGCGAGCTCCATCCTCCCCTCCTTTGCTTGTCTCCCCGCCAGCTACCAGAGATTCACCGACTGCTACAAGCGCTTCTACCAGCTGCAGCCTGAGGTGACGCAGCGGATCTATGACAAATTCGTGACTCAGTTGCAGACATCTATCCGGGTGAGTGGTGGCAAGTCCAGTGGGTACCACTGACTTGGTTCTGTCCCCAGATTGTCAGTCCCGGAGAGCAGGGAGCCCACTCCCTGCCCCTCTGTCCCCTCAGCACCTAAGACTGCCCTCCAGGCCAGCAGCCTGTGGCATCGCTCATTCTCCCCTGCAGATGACGTGGCTCCTCATGCCCCCTTCTCTCCCTGTCCTGCATCGTGACTGCTCACTGTGGCCCGTGTAAGAGCAGCAGGCAGGGCTGGAGCCCACTCACCTGTGCGCTCTGGCTCCTGGGGCAATGCTGGCAGAGGCAGCGTCTGGTCCCTTGTTGGAGTCCATGGATCTGAGGCCTGCTGGGATCCAAGTTCACGCACACCTTCAAGGAGCCATGCTATCTCTAGGGAGGCCCTGTCCATGATGTCACCCTTGGGGCAGTCCTGCAAGCACCAAACGTGCCCACAGGAGGGTCAGGGAGAAGCAGCCATTGTGAGAGCCACATCCTGCTGGTGGGGAGGCTTGCAGCAGGCCCTTGATAACTTTCCCACTTTTTTTTTTTTTTTTTTGTCGTTTTTGGAGCAGTTTCTGCTATAGGGCACATGCTCTTGCCAGAAAGACAGAGAGAGACAGAGAGACAGAAAGCGAGAAAACACCCCCCAGGGGGGATGGTCACGCCACAATCCCTTCTCCTCCATTCTCCTCTTGGAATCTTGGGCACGCACGCACACGCGCCCGGTGTGAGTTTAAGCCACCAGGTCCAGTACTCGAACTGCAGTCAGCTACATGGAAGTCCAGTGACACAGCCATTACGCTATCTGCTGGTCTCCCCCACTTCATATTTTGTTTTCTTAACTGTGGAAGCCACAAGCTGTCGAGGGGAGGGTGGGGAGATACAGAGTCAGTCGGCCTGTTCCGAGGGCCACCACTGTCCACCCTTCCACTTGGTGCTCCCCGGAATCATTACGGCTCTTTCCCCTTTCTCTTCAGGAGGAAGTCTCCGAAATCAAAGAGGAGGGGAACCTCGAAGCTGTCTTGAACGCCTTGGATAAAATCGTGGAGGAAGGCAAAGACCACAGGGAACCGGCCTGGTGAGGGGGAGGGGGTAGAGGTGGAGGCAAGGCCAGCCCTGCAGGGAGGAGGTGGCACTGTCACTGCCTGGAGGAGCTTTGAGACCGACCATGTCCCTGTGGCCCTGGGCTCGTGGCCCTCAGAGGACCAGGGACAGGGATGTGGGGAGAGGACAGACCCTAACAGGGCCCCAAATCGGTTGAAACCAAGAATCTCACAGGAAGAGTCCCAACAGCACGAGGGCACGTCGTCCAAGGGCTGCGGGTGGTGTCTGAGGCCAGACCGAGGAAGCCTCCTGGGAGCTCACTGTGGGCCCATAGGGCTCGCAGGGAAAGGGTAGGGTAGGGCAGTGGGAGGAGGCAGGACAGTGCGGTTGGAATCACGGGTACATCAAACTGGCTCTTATTCCTTTCTTCACTCAGCAATACCAGGGAGGGCTGGCTCAGGGGCGCAGCAGTAATGCACGCAGAGCTGGGCCCAAATGTAAGATGCGGGTTTTGTCCCTGGGTCAGCCTGTGCATGCCGGGCACGGGCACTGCAGTTCTGGAGAGCTGGGGGGTGGGGGACTGCGGCATGAGAGCCTACGAGGGGCTGATCTCGCTCTCGAGAATAAACAAGATTTAAGGAAAGAACAACAGAAACACAGCAGACTTCAAAAACTTCATGTAAAAATGGAATTAAAGCGCAGGTTTATGCGGGATCAGTAGTCGGCGTAATGGCTGTTGCTGGACTCCCACGTAGTTGACTGCAGTTTGAGTCCCGGACCTGGTGGCTTAAACTCATGCCAGGCGTGTGCGTGTGCGTGCCCAAGATCCCAAGAGGAGAATGGAGAAGGGATTGTGGCGTGGCCATCCCCCTTGGGGGGTGATTTCTCGCTTTCTGTCTCTCTCTCTTTTTGGCGAGCACACGCGCCCTGTAGCAAAAACTTCTAAAAAAAAGAAGAAAAAAAGCACAGGTTTGTTAAGACCGGCAGATGCAGCAGATGGTGTCAAGGTTACGTTGCTAGACTCCCACATGGCCAGCCCCAGTCTGAGCTTGAACCTTACACCAGACGCATGTGCATGTGTGCCCAGAGTCCTGAAAGGAGAATGGAGGAAAAGGAATTGTGTGGCCATTCTCCTGGGCCATGCCACAATTGGGGTGGTGATTTCTTGTTTTCTGTCTGTCTCTTCGTGAGCACACGTGCTCTCTTTTAAAAAAAATGCACAGGTTTATTTTGGTACAAAAATGTTTTGAATCCATGCAGGTTTTTTTAATGTGCATTTTCCATAAACTTGATTAGGTCCCTCAGGTTTAGGGAGTGCCTTCTAGGTTTTTTTGTTTTTTGTTTTTTTTGGGGGAGAGATTTTCGCTATAGGGCGCATGTGCTCACCAGACAGACAGAGAGAGACATAGAGACAGAAAGCGAGAAATCACCCCC